CTTAAGTAATATTTTACATATAATGTGCCATTAATGACTTTTCAGTATTAACATCTTGGTGTAAGCTGGTTACAATCTCCTTAACTACTGAAGGGAATGGATTGAAACTTCACATGTTTCTTCTTTGTGATTAATTATCTAGCATGATTGGCACAAGTCCAATAACTCTGATTTGCTATTTTGCTTATAAACGAGCCTTTTTCGACATAGAAATTATCGGTGAAGTTTTTGTGGGTAAGCTGGTATCACGATATCTACTATAGGGAAAGGATTTAAAGTACCATAACTCTGATCTGCTTTATTGCTTATTTATGCCCCTTTTTCGACTAAGAAATTATTGGTTAAGTTTTGCTGGTAAGTTAGTATCTCCTTAACTACGGATGGGAATGGATTGAAACTTTACACGCATTGTTTGGTGATTATCTTACAATATTGGCCCAAGTACCATTAATCTGAGTGTTTTTTTTCTTTTTTTCATTTTAATGCCCTTTTTTGACATAGAAATTCTTAATTAACTTTTTACGTGTAAGCTGGTATATGTGATTATCTAACATAATTTGCACAAATACCATAACTCTGATTTTTTTTTTTGCATAACTTAGCCCCTTTTTACTTTTAAGTCTTGGTTAACTTCTTGCTTGTAAGCTAATATCTCCATAAGAAATTAAGGGAATGGACTGAAACCTCACACGCCTCTTCTCTGTGATTTTCTAAAATTATTGGCACCAGTCCCAATAATCTGATTTGCTTTTTTATCCCCCGTCAAAAAGGCGGCGGGGGATATAGAAATACTCTCTGTCCTTCCTTCCATCCGCCCGTACTTCTGTCTGATATTTTTGTCGGATTGTCACATTGAAGAGGAGTGCAGTGCACAAGAATGATAACTCTTAACCCTGCATAATTTGTCAGTTATTGTCAAATTTATTTTTTGTCCAGAGCATAACTCAGAAAGCCTTTGAGATATTAACATGAAACGTCATAGGTTGATAGATCTCATTCAGGAGGTGTGCAGTGCACAAGAATGATAACGCTACCCGTCATAATTTTAGTTATAATGCCCTTTGTTAATTTTCTTTCTTAATTTTTCATTTGAGAAGGAGTGCAGTGCAAAAAAATGATAACTATACCCTTCATAATTTTTGAGTTATAGTCCTTTGTTATTTTTCATACTCCGACATTTTTGTCCGGACTATATCTCAAAAAGCATTTGAGGTATCAACTTGAAACTTCATAGATGGATAGATCGTATTTGAGGAGGAGTGCAGTGTATAAGAATGATAACTCAATATTAACTCTACCCTGCATAATTTTTCAATTATTGCCCTTTGTTATTTTTCAAACTAAATTTTGTCAAGAGCATAACTGAAGAAGCCTATGTCTTGAGATATCAACATGAAACTTCATAGGTTGATAGATCTCATTCGGGAGGTGTGCAGTGCACAAGAATGATACATCTTCCCTTCATAATTTTTAAGTTATTGCCCTTTGTTATTGTTCATACTTTATTTTTCACCTCAGTGGAGCATAACTCAAAAGTCTTTGAGATGTCAACACGAAATTTTATAGGTGGACAGATCTTATAGAGTAGGAATGCCGTGTTTAAGAATGATAACTCTATCCTTTATAATTTTTGAGTCATTACCCTTTGTTATTTTCATACTTTTTGTCCACAGCTTATCTCAAAAAGTGTTAAAGGTATCATTTTGAAACTTCATAGGTGGATAGATATTAAGGAGGAGTTCAGCAAACAAGAATGATAACCCTACCCTGTATTATTTTTCAGTTATTGCTCTTTATTTTCAGCCATCAGTATTCACATAGGTTTCAAATCTGTAATCACTTCAGCCATCAGTTTTCATTACCAAACGACCTCTTAAAATTGAATTCACTGTACTGCTCTACTGCATATACATTCTTCCAATGAGCAAACACATTCGGCAAAGGTTGGTCATGTTAACATGGCTCTTTTTTTGCATATGTATGTCTGACCTTTTTCGACTAAGAAATTGTTGGTTTAGTTTTTGTGTGTAAGCTGGTAGTATCTCCATTATCAATTACTGAAGTTTTTTTTGTGACAATTGTAATGCATTTATCATAATCAAACAATGGTTACCTGAATACCAGCTTTTGTAACTTTTTGGGACACTTTTATGTATCCATATGGGTAAGCATTATTATACTCAATGAAACACCCTTGTGACAACTCTTTCGAATTGTCGAGCGTTGCTCTCCTCCGGCAGCTCTGGTTTGTTCGTTTTTTTGTCTCTTCTCAAAGTTTCAAAAAGTAATTTTGTGTCCTAATAGATCACTCTTTCAAGTCTTATGATCTGTTGGCAATAGGAATAACTGTATTGTCAAGTAGGTTTTTGGAAGGAAGTCAAAATATTATTTTGTTTATATGTTGCTATCTTTTGCGACACATTACTGCATATTCAGTGCTACTTCCATTAATGATGGACATCTAACATGCTCTAAATCCATCACTTAAACATTATTGAATATGTGTTTTACATTTCTATTAAAGAATGAGAAAAAATGAATTTATGTGGCATAATGTGCCTTTAATATATAAATAAAAGACCCATAATAACTAATAAGGCTTTGTATAGTATGGCTTACCAACGGAAGCAGTTGATAATATGTTCAGACAATCAGTTTTGGCCCTAAATTATATTTAAGCTGCATGCCTCCAGTAAAGTCAAAGCATTTCATTAAAATCAAACTTGGGACTAATGTACTAAGATCGGAAGAATAATAAAATATCCAAGATTCATGAAACAATTACAAAAAATTTAGTGTGCGATTAATGACTGCTCTAATAGTATAAATAACAATAATCCCACTGTTTTAGTAACGCAGTTAAGGCTACTTTTGCATGTTTTGACCTCTTATTGGTACATAACGTGGATTATAAGCGCCGTTTACAATGTGTAAATAAGTGTATCTGCTCTGTTTCAAAAATATTTTACTGTTCAATAATTTTTTTCTTTTTCATGAAAATTAGTACGAATCTAGGAGCATGCTTCTTTAAAGGCATTTAGTAAAATTTAGTAAAAATTTCCAATCGCTTGAGATATTTGTCTGTAACATTAATCTAAGCAAGAATGTTGAACAAGAGTACAAACAGTAATCTACTTGCTGGGCACAAAAACCGGACAACCATCAAACCCGGACAGCCCTGCATTGAATGCCTGATTTAGTGTGTTTCTTGTTCAGTAGATGTCTATCAATCAGTCGCGTTTTTAACCCCAAAAAATATGTATGCTTCTTGAATCAAAATTTAAATAATTATTTTTTAAACAATCCTAAATGCTTATATTTATGCTCCCTGTAGGGAAGCATATAGTCACCGCTATGTCCGGATGTCCGTCTGTTTTTCCCTCCCCTTTTTTCCCGAGACATAACTCAGAAAACCAAGAGGTATCAACAAGAAAATTTGTAGATACATAGGTCTCATTGAGGAGAAATGCACTCTAAAAGAATAATAACTCTTCCTTCCCTCATTTTGGAGTTATTGCCCTTTGTTCATTTTTATTCTTTAAACATTGTCCGGGACATAACTCTAAAACTATAAGTGATATCAACATGAGAAAAGTGCAGTGCAAAAGAACCATAACTCCACCTTGCCTAATTTTGGAGTTATTGCCCTTTGTTCATTTTTACACTTTGAACAGTGTCCAGGACATAGTTCTGAAAGTATAATAGATATTAACAAGACACTTTGTATGTAGATAGATCTCATGTGGTTGATGTGCAGTGCACAAGAACCGTAATTCTACATTGCCTAATTTTGGAGTTATTGCCCTTTGTTCATATTATACTCTGAACTTTGTCAGGCTCAATAACATTAAGATTATTAAAGATTTTAATTTGAAACGTTGTAGGTAGATAGTTCTTATTGGTTAGAAGTGCAGTAGAAAAAAATATGTAACTCTACCTTGCCTAGTTTTGTAGTCATTGCCCTTTGTTCATTTTTACACTTGGAACTTTGTCCGGACAAAAACATCGAAACTATAAGAAATATCAACATGAAACCTTAAATAGTAAGTCTGTCTTGCGTAAGTTTGGATTATTACTCTTTTAACTTTGTCCGGCAAACTACAAGAGGTATACTTTTCTGTGTCCAATACCTATTTTGGGAGCATCACCCGGTTTTTAGAACATTCAGATTGACGCTGAAAATTTGGACATCAAGGGTACAATATCTGACCTCTTATACTAGCTATAATCATTTGCAGATATTAAACTTCAGCATTTGTGTTGAATTGTTAATACATGACATTTTATTGACCTTCATCGTCTATTTTTTGGTAGTCTATCATTACAACAATATTCTTCCCCTGATGAGTTTGACTTCAGAAACAAAACAAAAAAATGAATGTGTTGGATTTTGTTTTAAATCAAAACAATCTGACTTAAGTTCTGATCTACTTTTTTATGTTATGAGATCTGATAATAACCGTATATGTTTTGCTTTCTTTTTAATTCGGATTTCACGAGAATGCTAATTTAGCCATGTTATAATTTAATAATATCTAACCAGTTTTTACATAGGCATTAGAAGAAGTATTAAAAAGCCCGTTATCCGTGGAAATTAAACAAATTGTTGTTAGAAAAAAATGTTTAAAGTAATTGTTTAACAAATCAACTTGCAATAATAGAGTCAAATTTAATGGTCGAGATTGTTTTGACACTTTACTATTCGGCTTTATCGACAACGCCGTGTGTGCTTTCGAAATCGTGAAAATTACGTGAAAATTACCTACTCAGTAATTGTTTTTCTAGGGTTAAAATTAGAAACCACATCGCTTTCAAAATTATAAAAGCTCGCCAATAATTGGCTGTGTGAAAGCTTACCAAAATGATTTCGCATTTGGTCACGGTCAGATCTTAAACTGGTCGGAGCATTATTAAGAGCTGATTTTAATCATATTTGAATCTTAATGTCCTATTTATTATAAATTTTGAATTTTGATAGATTTATTTTTTTCTATTTTCAGTTTTTCCTCTATGCAGGACTTCACTGTTAATCAGAAGACCCCAACTGCTATCTATGAGGTAATATCTTACAATCTGAGACACAACAATGGAAAGAAATTAAATGTTATACACCACCTGTTTATATTAACTTTAAGCTTAGATTTGTTAATTGATTTTAAGTATTGTTAAGACTGGCCAATGGTTATTTACAAAATAGATATCACATATTTTCAAATGCATGGCTAACTAGGAAGTACATTGTATATGAGATATACCTGTGATTAACATCTACCTCAAGTTTAAAACAGTTGTCACCATATATTGTAGTTGTTTTAATTTCTATGTCGATAGTTCTTAGCATGTATTACTTTATTTTGTATGATTATGTCATATAAAGTTAACACTTTCATAAAGTGGTCTTATTTTTTTTGATGCAAGTACCACTTAAAAATAAAATTGTTTTGCTCTACGTCCGTTTGTCCGTAATGGTAAACCTAAACAAGCAATTTGGATTTATCTTTAGTTCTACCTGTACCAATTGCTTCACAATTTACGCACCTACTAATATATAAAAAGTACATGATCTTGGCAAGTTACTATGTCTTCCATTATTCCAAATTTAATACCTTATTTTAGCACTTAAACACAAAATTGTTTTGACATGCTAACTTATATTTTTTACAAGAATTAAAAGTCATGACTCAATCAAGTTATATAAACTGTGTTTTTGCAAATTTCTGTCTATATATAATAAGGTGAGTAAATAGGTAAACCTTTTTGAAAATTTGTTACTGACAATAATCTGGGCAGGGGCATTTTTTACCAAACACGGTTTTGTGCTTCTGTATGTTACCCATAATCTTCTTAAAACATGTTTTTCAACCAAAAGTTTTAGTTTTAAAATGTTACATTTTACTTTTATCATCTGTTATCACTGGAGTGTAGTATTTATCACATTGTTATCTTTTTCCATTAAAGCATACAAATTGCTGTCAATATTTTCTATTTCACATTCATTGACATAGACAGGTTTATGTTACAATTCCTAGGAAAAAGTTGAACATTTGACTGCTGGTAGTGATAAAAATAAATAGAATATTTTTTTTTTTTCATTATAAGTTTTGAATTATTCTATCTAATATTAAATAAATCTAGTGTGGTGTCTTTTCTAACAGCTCTTGTTATACATAACAGTGGATAATATGAATTTAATCAGGCAATTTGCTGTAGGATGTTATGTATCTTATAATGTACATTTCACAAAACCTGTATCCTGTATCTTACTGCCTTAAGTTTACATTAAGTTGTTTAAGGTTCAATCTTCAAATGGCTTCTTGACATGAACAAATTGATGAAATAACTTTCAGCAAATCATATTATGTTGTCACCATGATTCTAACAGAGCTTTTGACCTTGTCATTAACTTTAATACTAATGAATCTTTTACATTTAAACTTCACAGTTTGTATGTTGCACGTTTTATGAGTTATAGCTTTCACATTCATTTTTACTTCTTTAGATCAATTAAAGGTCAATTTTACTTGAACCTGTAACATGTGAACATGTAATAATTTAAGGATCATTGTGTCAAAAACTATAAAAGCTATTCTCTACTTGATTTATGACTATCAAAATGTAACACCATATCAGTAGGCCTGGTTATATATTCTCGTTGTATTTTGCAAAGTTATTTTTGACAATGATGTTTTTTCTGGTTAACTTTTATGTTAAGGTAAAAAAAAATAAAGTTATTAATTCATATCATGTACCGCATTAAACGTTGTAGACTCATTCGCTATCACAAAAGAAATGCATTTGTTATGGGGCCATTTAAATGCAAATAATATAGAACCTATTATACCCCCGAAATTAAGTTTGGAGGGTATATAGGAGTCACTCTGTGGTCGGTGGGTTGGTTGGATGGTTGGTTGGTTGGTCGGTCGGTCGGTCCAGCAGTCCATTGTATTTTCCTTGTCCAGAGCATAACTTGAAGACTAATGATTGGAATTCAATACAACTTAATACAATGATCAAGCACATTGAGAGGAAGTGCAGCGCACAAGAACCATAACTATGTCTTGACTAATTACAGAGTTATTGCCCTTTGTTACTTTTACTTGTCCAGAGCATAACTTGAAAACAACTGGTTGGAATACAATACAACTTCATACAATGGCCAAGCACAATAAGGGAAAGTGCAGTGCATAAGAATCATAACTCTAACTAAAGTAATTACAGAGTTATTTCCCTTTATTACTTTTTCATAACTTTCTTTTGTCCGGACCATAACTTGAAGACTAATGTTTGGATTTCAATATAACTTTGTACAATGGTCAAGCATATTGGGAGAAAGTGCAGTGCACACGAACCATAACTCCATCTTGACAAATTACAGAATAATTGCTCTTTGTTACTTTTCCTTGTCCGCAGCAAAACTTGAAAACTACTGATTGAAATTCAAAATAACGTCATACAATTGTCAGGCACAATAACAGAAAGTGCAGTGCACAAGAACCATAACCCTATCTAAAGTAATTAAATAGTTATTGCGCTTTGTTACTTTTCCATTGCTTTTTTGTCCGGAGCATAACTTGAAGACTTATGGTTGAAATTCAATACAACTTCATACAATGATCAAGAAAATGAGAGGAAGTGCAGTGTCCAAGAACCATAACTCCATCTTCACCAATTACATAGTTATTGCCCTTTGCTACTTTTCCTTGTCTGAAGCATAACTTGAAAACTACCTGTTGGAATTCAATATTACTTCTTACAATCATCAAGCAGATTTAGAGGAAGAGCAGTGCAAAAGAACCATAACTCTATCTCGAATAATTACAGAGTTATTGCCCTTTGATACTTTTTCTTTAATATAACTTCACACAATGATCAAGGGCAAAAAGAGGAAATGCAGTGTACAATAACCATAACTCCATCTTCAGTATTTATAGAGTTATTGCCCTTTGTTCATTTCCCTTGTCCGGTGCATAACTTGAAAAACTAATGTTTAGAATTCAATGCAACTTCATACAATGGTCAAGCGCAATGAAAGCACAGTGCTGAAAAAGCGTAACTCTTTCTGGACTTATTACAGAGTAATTCAATAAAACTTCATCAATGGTCAACCACATTAAAAGGAAATGCAACATACAAGAACCACAACTATCTTTAATTGCCCACAACCATAACTCTATTTCAATTCTTTTGCAAGGTACTCTGTTACTAGTAACTTCCTCATTCCCGAAAAGTCTTGCGGGGGTATTGATCACATTACATGATAGTTCTAGTCACTTACATTTTGACTTTCTTTACTTTTCTTACCATCTCAGAACGTTTTCTCAAGTTGTATTTTCTTGAAATAGTTTTTGTTCATGTACATATTACAGGACTATATATCTGTTTCAATTGTTCCGGTTTAGATAATGTTGTATGGAAGATAATATTATAGTGAATGCACTCATTTTAAATAATATTATATACTAAGAATGTAGATATACAATGTATTCAAATCAAGTGCCAATGCAGAGCAGATGATGCATTTTAAAAAATGTTTTTTATGCAAATGTAAGTAAATTTTATATGTTCTGAACATGTCATATATTGTATGTTTAATTTGTTTTTCTTGTTATATGTAATTATAATGGAATTTTTGTCATAACCCAATCGTCTGCATGAGCATTTTTAAAGAATTGGTTAGCTTTTGTATACTAGTATGTGTTTTTTTTTATAAAAGTATGCACTTTACAAAGTGCAGATAATCCTATCTTTTCGCAAATCTTTGCCCCCTTTTTAACTGAGATTTAAGCATTTTTTAACCTGTTTGTTAAGGTCAATTGACACTCAGTTATTTAATTCAAAATTGTTCACTTTTAATTTATGTCACCATTTAAGAAGGGATCATAATCCTAAAATTAATTTTACAAAGTCTCTTTTTGATTTATTTTTATTTTCTTGAAAATTGTCAAAGTAAATCATATCAACCTTTTTTCAATTTTTCAAAATTGGACTCAATTTTAAAAGACGGGTAACTACATTTTTAATGTCTCCCAAAATGTTTGGGAGACATAATATTTTTGCCTTCGTCGTCTTTCCGTCCGTCCGTCCGGTTGTCCGTCCGTTGTCCGTCCGTCCGCATTAAGCTTGTCCGGCCTTCACAGCTCAAACTACTGTTGGGATTTCAACCAAACTTTACAGGAGTGATCAATACCATCCCTTGTTGTGCACATCACTTGCAAGTTTCGCCTCGCTGCACAAAATGGCCACCAGAGATAAAAAGAGAAAACTTTTGTCCGGCCTTCACAGGTCAAACTACTTGTTGGATTTCAACCAAACTTTACAGGAGCAATCAGTAGTGTCACTAGTCATGCACAAAATGGCAGCCAGAGCTAAAGACAGAAAAATCTTGTCCGGCTTTCAGAGGTTAAACCACTAGTGGGATTTCAACCAGACTTCACAGGAGTAATAAATACCATCCCTAGTTGTGCAAATCGCTTGCATATTTCGTTTGAACGGTGCACAATATGGCTGCTAGAGCTTAAAAATAGAAAAATCATGTCCGCTATCATACTTGTCACAAACTGCTGGCGGGATTTTTACCAAAATTCACAGGAGTTCATTACCATCCCTTTTTATGCATATCCCGGCATGTTCCGCTTTGCTGCTCAAATGGCCGTTAGCCTTACGTTATGCATGCTTTCATAAGTAATCGTACGTTGTGCATGTTTTCAGTTTTCAGTAAAATCCCAACTTTTGGCCAGATATTCAGATTTCAGATGTTATACTAAGGTAATATTCAGGAATCAGAAATACAATAAGTAATAGAAAGAGCATCGAAATACGAGGCTATCTAATTGTATGAGGGGGCGTATCCCTTTTTATTATGTACATGGAATAAAGAAACACATGACAGTACAAATTATTGATTATTATTAAAAATTATCTTCTACAATTTCCTGCTTTTTCTTATACTTATTATTAAACAAAATTTAAAATGCTCAAAAATATATAGTGTGTGTTTGTCTGTTTTCCAGTATAAAATGCAATGTAAATACCTTATTATAAGTTTTAATTGTTAAACATAATGTTTAAAAAAGCCCTTTATCTTTAACTTTATCTTAATTCAGATATGGAAAATAATAAGAAAAAAAAAACAACAGTAAAAAAGGCTACATTCGTAATACGTCCATGATGCCCCAGAAATGCTTTAATTTTAATTCGTCAAAATCTCTTTATCTTTTGTATTCTTTTATAGTTTTCAACAAGATACTCATTTGCAAATTATCTGCACTTTCTTGTTCTTCTGTCCTTTTTGGTAATAAGTACATTTATAGTGATTTGGTATTTTGTATGGAAGTCAAAATACCACTTTGTTTACATTTTGTTACTATTATGACGTATAATGTTACATTTAGCGCTATTTTCTTCAGGAAACAAGCATGTAACGTGCTCCAAAACCATTATTCAATGTTGTAAAACACATGCTTTAAATTACTAAAGAAGTAAATTTCTCATTTCTTAGACATAATGTGCCTTTAAATATGCAGCCATATATTAATAAAGGGAAGTGAATGCTATAAATAGTTGTTATGTAAGTTACTTCAGTTATTTCCCTTCTTTTATCATAATTAATTTATTTTTCATTGAAACTTGGTTTATATTTTGGGAATTATATGTGTAGTCAGTACAGAAATTACCCAATATAAAACAAAATGTATTGTAGTTAAATTGTGATAATGTTAGTAAATGCTTTCAGATTATTGAACATTATTTATATATTTTACATAACTGTATATATTCAAATGTTTTCAAAGTAATGCCCTGTCTTATTGGACATTCTCATATTTTTCAGTTATATCTCTTTATGTAATGATGATGTTTTTTCATGTATCATAATTATGTTGTATATAGTATATGGTAATGACCTTATTATGCTTAATAACTGTTCTGTTATTTTATTATTTTGATTCAAACAAATGAATGTACATGTTACATATAATAACGTACATATATGTTTAATTGAACAATGATTATGATTGGAACCTTCTCAAAAAATAAATTGTTATTCATACAAGTTAGTGTTTGTTTTACTATAATGTTTTATACAAGAATAAGGTATGTTGTTAAATCTAGGGGCTAGGCTCGATTAAAAAGGTATTGTTATAGTCCTTGCGGCGTTGCCGTTGCTGTTGCCGTTGCCGTCCACAAACTTGTACATGGATCATAACTTTCTAAGTTCTTGGTGTATTGTCTTCATACTTGGCATCAACAACCCTTGGGATAAGATCTTTCATTAGATCAGACTAACCTTGACCTTCATCCATAAATGACCTTGTCCTTCAAGGTCAAATATGCAAATTTTGCTTGTTCTTGATATTATTGGCTATAACTTCAAACTTAAAAATAATAATCTTCAAGGATAGCCCTTTAAATTAACCAGACAGACATTGACCTTCACTCATAAATGACCTTGGCTTTGAAGGTCAAATAATTGAAAGTTTCGTTGTTTTTAAGTGCCCCCACTATAGGGGGGGGGGGCATTTAGATTTACCCTTGTCCATCCGTCCTTTCGTCCGTTCTCTTTTTGTGTCGCACGTAGCTCAAAAAGTAATTGACCTTAGGTCATGAAACCTTACAGGAATGTTGATTGACTGGGTATATTTGTGTGGGTTTATTTAGTATTTTTAGAGTTATTGCCCTTGACTTAGAAAAAAATTCCAATTTTTAACTTGTGTCGCTATAACTAAAAACGTATTTGACCTAGAGTCATGTAACCTTACAAGAATGTTACTCATCATGTGTAGTTGTGCACCTGGGTATTTTTGTGTGGATATA